AGAACCCCCGCCGCATCGCATGGACTGTTCTCTTCCGTCGCCAGCACCGCAAGGGTATCTCTGAGGTCGGTCGCCCCTCCCCTTGGATTATTGTTAGATTGTGTGGAGGGACAAAAGGCCGAATCGAATGGTGACGCCAACCATGAGACGGAGCAAGAGGAGGAATTACCACGTCACCACCATGAATCAGACCAAATGATGGAAAAATGCGACTGCAGATTACTGACCGGGTTATCTTTTTGGATATATAGGAGGTCGCCAAGAAGCGCACTCGCCGTGTCGTCAAGAACCAGCGTGCTATCGTTGGTGCTTCCCTCGATGTGATCAAGGAGCGCCGCTCCCAGCGCCCCGAGGCCCGTGAGGCTGCTCGCAAGCAGGCCATCAAGGACGCCAAGGAGAAGAAGGCTGCTTCCGCCAGCGCCAAGAAGGCCGAGAAGGCCAAGATTGCCGCCTCCAAGGGCGGTGCCCAGCGCATCCAGAGCAAGCAGGGTGCTAAGGGCTCTGCCCCCAAGGTCGCCGCCAAGTCCCGCTAAATTTCTTTATGAAATAGATGGAAATGGAGGTGTTCGGAAAGGAGCAGCGCTGTGATGGTTGCGATATGATGGAACTTACGGGCACTGGAGCTGGAGTACTGTCTGACTGGCCTAGGGCCTTGACCTTGTTTCTGGAAATACTTTATGCAATACAATTTCATGCAGAAAAATGGGAACAAAGGAATCAAAAATATGAATCCCCATGCGAGTATTAAAACTATGTCCTCGTCCAACCTCCAGCTATGGAACGTTTCTTGCTATTCTACTTGGGATTCATGTTCACCAGGCCTACTCATGAGTGGTTAGATGTGTATCTCTATCGGATCTTCAAATCTTCGGATCTTGCCAACGAAGTAGTCCAGATTTGACCTTCCAATCTATAATTGAATTTCATGTTTCGAGTTGTTCTAACCTTTTGACGTTGATGATGTAGACAAGGAAGAGTCACTTTGGTACGTAGCCTTTTTTTTTTAGCAGTTTGAGCTTTTCTATTCCAGATTCAGGATGGTCTGCCACCTTGAATAACATGTATATAATTGTCATGCTCCATACACATCTATACTTGGACCATCTAGGTCTCCATCCCTGCAATGCATTGAATTCTACCCCCGAGAAAGCAGAGACAATACAAGCTTGGAAACAAGAAACAACATTAGTAGTGTTACAAGATAAGATGCGGATCACCACACGGGCAGAAGCATCACCATCATGATCATGAGTGATAGATCAAACACTCCCTAGTCAGAGGACCCCCACGGTGTGCAACTTGCAACTGAGTTGTCAGAAGTGGAAGTGGATGCAAAATCCTACGAATGCCCCAGCTGCTTCATCTCATGTGCCAATAGGCCATGCTAATCATGATGGATTAGGTCCAGATGCAGCTCCGCTCCCTCAAATGCAACAATCCCATGCTTTGCGCAAGTATACCATGCACAACGACGCTTCGCTGCAGCCTTGATTGAACCAAATGACCCAAATACCATACCAAGCAACCAGCGTGAACCAGAAGGGAAAAAATACATAGATCAATAAACGCTCAGTAATAATGCGCCATTTCGAGGCCAGCGCGCTTGAAGCCACACTTGACATAGAAACCCTCATTGACTTCAGAGCAATCAAGAATGCTCTGTAGCCGAGTCAGCAATGAACAATAACACAACACCAAAATCATAAACATGAGATAAAAATCACATACCTTGTAGCACCCAACGTGGGCAGCAACATAATCCAAAGCCTGAATAATTCTCAAGCCAAGCTTCTTGCCTTGTTGATTCTTCTCAACGGCAATGTCTTCAATGTGTCCAACCATACCGAGCGAGTGAATAAACTTGCGCTCAACAATCAGACTGCCAGTTCCGACTATTTGGTCTGCGCCGTCGCAGACCACGAGCATGTAGTACTCGTCATTGCGCGAGGTAATCCAGTCGTACCGCTGGTTCCATGCCTCTTCGGTGATATCACCAACAGTTGTCAACACGCGCAGAACATCCAGATAGCCGCGGTGATAGTCTGAGCGGCGCATGGGCCGGATTGTGTAGTCTGTAGGTAGGAGGGAGATCACTTCGGGGGAGATGAGGTTGGAGGGGAAGAGGGGGCCGTCGGTGACGGTATCGGTTTCGGCGTCCATTGGGGTGACTGTTGAGCTTATGATTGGCTTTGTGGCCTCCGGCATGGTGGTGCTTGTAAGGGCGTGTGCGGTCATTTTGATGGTGGGAATTGGAGAGTGGGAGAGTTGAAGAAATTGAGGGTTGAGAGCGGGTTGTTTATCAGGGGTCGGGGGTCGCAAGAAAGATCGGCGTTTTTGGATTTAAGTGAGTTAATTTGTGTGAAACTTGAGTATAGAATTGAAAAGGAACAATAGGGTTGCGACGTGGGAAAGAAGATGTTTTTCAAGATGTTCAAGAATAAGTACTTGACTTTGCAGGGTTCAGGTACAGCTGAGACACCGCCACTAAGGGGGGCATTTCTATTAATACTCCCCCCCATACCAAAAGACAAGTGGACTCGTCATTTTGGGGGGGTTCTCTCGGGAATTTTGACTATAACTTACTGACCTCTGCATTGAAAAATTCTGAATTTATTTGAAATATACATACGGAGTACTCCGTGCTTAAAAATGGTATCGGCAGCTCTAATTCCCTAGCGTTCTTGATCGGATTTGCGATCGAGGATGCTATTTATAACTCTTAAAAGACCTTGGGATCTACAACACAAAAAAACACATAACATCACAACACAAAGTGATCAAACATAAAATTCTTTTCAGTGTACATATCCTATCGGAAATGGTCTATAATAACACAGGACAGCATTGCTGTTCATCTACTTCAACTCCTTGGGGGCCAGCATCAGCTCGGGGCGGACGTACTGGTCGAACTCCTCCGAGCTGAGAGCCTTGAGCTCCATAGCGCTCTCCTTCAGGGTAAGGTTCTTCTTGTGAGCGTTCTTGGCAACCTTGGAGGCCATGTCGTAACCAATAACGGGGTTCAGGCAAGTCACAAGCATCAGACTATCATACAGTTAGAATTTGCCATTAAAAAAAAATGGGGGTTTAAGCGCATACCTCTCGTTGAGAAGGGAGTTAATCCGTCCCTCGTTAGCCTGCAGACCCTCCACCAGGTGGACACGGAAGCTGTTCATGCCATCAGAGAGAATGCGCACGCTGTGGAGCAGGTTGGCGATCATCACGGGCTTGAAGACGTTAAGCTCGAACTGGCCGTTCATGCCACCAATGGTAGCAGCGACGTGGTTACCCATAACCTGAGCGCAGACCATGGTGAGGGACTCGCACTGGGTGGGGTTGACCTTTCCGGGCATGATGGAAGAGCCGGGCTCGTTCTCGGGCAGGCTAAGCTCGCCCAGGCCGCAGCGGGGGCCGGAGCCGAGGTAGCGCACATCCTGGGCGATCTTGAACAGAGAGGCGGCCAGAGTGTTCAGGGAGCCGGAAGCCTCAATGATGGAATCGTGAGCAGCCAGAACCTCGAACTTGTTAGGGGCGGTCTTGAACTCGGTGCCGGTCAGCTTGGAGATCTCAGCAGCGACGGCCTCATCGAAGCCCTTGAAGGTGTTGAGACCAGTGCCGACAGCGGTGCCACCCTGAGCCAAGAAGCGCAGGTGGGGGAGGGTAGCCTGGACACGCTCGATGTTACGGTCGAGCTGGGCGACGTAGCCAGAGAACTCCTGGCCAAGAGTGAGGGGAGTGGCGTCCTGCAAGTGAGTACGGCCAATCTTAATGATGTGCTCAAACTCGTTGACCTTGACCTGGAGGGCATCGCGGAGGCCCTTGAGGGCAGGCAGAAGGGACTGCTCGAGCTCGATAACGGCAGCGATGTGCATAACAGTGGGGAAGGAGTCGTTGGAGGAGGCGGACATGTTAACGTGGTCGTTGGGGTGGACGGGCTTCTTGGAGCCCATGGTGCCACCGAGAATCTCAATGGCACGGTTGGAGATGACCTCGTTAGAGTTCATGTTGGACTGGGTGCCGGAACCGGTCTGCCAGACAACCAAAGGGAAGTGGTCCAGCAGCTTACCCTCGGCGACCTCAGCAGCGGCCTGCTTGATAGCCTCACCAATCTTGGGGTCTGATGCAAGTCAATAACCGGACAATGTCCAATTTCCATAAAATTCCACATACCAAGGCCGTATTTCATGTTCACTTCGGCGGCAGCACCCTTCAGGATACCGAAGGCCTTGACCACGGGGGCGGGCATGCGGTCCTGGGGCTGGTTGATGTCGAAGTTGCCCAGGGAGCTGTATCCATCAGCGACCTTCTTCTTCTTCCCATTGTAACATATCGATTTCAACAGGGCGTCTTACCGCTGGGTCTGCGCACCCCAGTACTTGTCTCCGGGGACCTATTAAAAAACCATTAGCTCTGTATGGTACAATTGCGTGAAGATTCACTTACCTGGATTTCACCAAAGGCATCGCTCTCAGTACGAGCGTCAACGGACTAGATCACACGCATCAGTTCTGAATTTGTCCGCGCTCTCGAGACAGCATACCATCCTGACAGTAGTTCCAAAGGCTCGCTTGTTGGAGAAAGTGTTCAAGGATTGAAGGCGGGGGAACTGAGCGAATTGACGGGTATTAGAGCTCAGAGATCGGGTAGCAAAGGGCGATAAAACGCTACGAGCTGCGGGGGTGGCTCTGGCCGCATGTGTCAGGGTGGCCATAGAGCGCACCGCGGCTCGGGAGGAAGTGGGATTCATTGCGTGACAATTGGGCTTGTAGCTGTACCAAGGAGGGTATACAAAGGCTCACACCAAGCTGATGAAGCTACTATGGGAAGTCAAATCGAGGATAGGTCTTCTTTAAAGAAAAGTCGCAAATTTGAGGTCAGCTAGACTCTCCGAGTCCCAGCCGAAACTTCCCGGTATCGGTAGAACGGAAAGGAGACGGGTTCTTCGGCAGAGAGGCTCGTAATTTTCGGTAATATTGGTATTATCCGGCTCAGTACTATGGTATTTATTTATCTGCTAGGGTTGAACTCTCATCCCTTCGAAGCTCCCGCTTCATTGTCGCAATCACCTTCCTGTTATATCGCTGACCTCCTTCCAGAATTCCATCGAGTGAAGCGAATACATGTGGAGCACCTGCAATCCGGTCTACCTCTACAGATACCCCAGCAGCTTGAAGCTTAGCTGCATACGCCTCTCCTTCATCGCGCAGCGGATCCAATTCCGCCGTAGACACCAACGCAGGAGCCAAGTTCTGGAAATTCGGTGCGAGAATGGGCGATATCTTCCAATCCTGAGACAAATGAGCATCACACTTTCAGTTACATCATGTCCAAACGTACCTCGTTAGACTCCATCGGTCGAGGAACTCCTAGAAAATGTCGGTGGAAGTATGCCATGCGCGCCACTGGCAGCGCAGGTGCAAATTCCATCTCCCGGTATGATTCGTAGGGACAACCTTCGCGGTCAAACTCGCCCTCGGGAGTGAAAACACGGTGTAAGTCTGTCGCCGGCACGGTCAGGATTTGCAAGCGCAGAGGGATGCTTGCATCACGGCAGAGATGGCTGATGACGGCCGAAAGGTGGCCTCCAGCTGATACACCGCCCACTGCAAACCTATCTGGGTCTAAATTGAACTCAGTCGCTTTCTGGGAGCGAATCTAGCCCTGCGTCGTCAGTAGTTGGTTCACATCCAAGGTCTTGGCTGATGTTCCTACCCAATTGAAAGCGGTCCAACAATCATTCAATGGAATGGGATACTTATGCTCAGGGGCCAGGCGGTAGTCCACGTCAAACGCAACAAGGTCTCCATCAAGTCCATGGACAACTCGCTTGCAGAAATCGTGGTCGTATGCTAGTCCACCAAAGACCCAACCACCACCGTGGAAGTTTACATAGGCCGCTCTCCTCTTCGGTTTACCCTGGGTGTCAAGCTGGGGTGCTGGCTCAAATATCCGTACGGTGATTTCACCACCATCGACAGGACATTTCTGCTCCGTGATGCGGAATATATCAGGGCCGGGAGCTCGGCCGTAGGAAGTGGTATAACGGCCAGGGTCCTTGCGGAAGTCTTCAATGGGGACCTCGTGTGTATGCAGTCGACCGACATTGAATGCATTATAGTATGCGACGTAGGTTGGGTCATACCGTGGGAGCAGCTCCGGGGGGATGCTATTGTGAAGTGGTTGGACGATGGTTGGGGGCCGAAAGTTATGCAAAGCAGAGTCACCAGCTGGTGCGGTTTGAGAGGACATACTGCTAACAAGAAAGAGACACTGCTAGATCCAATTGAATAAAGTATGAGATTGATGCGAGTACAGAAGATGTGATTTGAAGCTATCGAAGTTCAACAAATCTCTCGTGCGGGGTACCATTTGCCTATGTTGTGCTCGCCAACTTCGGCCTATACCCCTTAGACACATTAGGTCAGTGGCGTGCTATTCCTGTATAGTACGGAGACAAGTTGGGTGGCACAGCAAGACTTTATCCTCGGCTGTAAAATCAATATGCGTCAAAAAATGGATTGAGGTAAGAGCTGGAACAATATCCCGGTCGTTATGGCTAGATCACTAGGTCTCTTCTTCTGAATTTTCTCGTGTTCGTGTACATTCGTGTTCATCTTGGGTTAGTTGAAGGTCACCATAATAGAGAATTTAGCTGTAACTAGGCTTTTTCGCATTGGAATATTAGTAGGGACATTGAGAATACGTTTCTAGAAGGCTAAAAGCACACGAGCCAAAAACAATTCATGACTGGTATAAAAGAGATATCATCTTACCTTGACATATATCTCAGCCTACTATATATCGCAACCCCCTCTTCCAAGTGTCCCCCAACAACACCACCACAGGCCATCATCAACTCCCGAGTCAGAGTGCTACACAAGGAAAACTCATATTTATCCTCTTGAGAATACAGTGCATTCACGATGTGCGTCAGCAGACCTCCGATGACGTTTCATGCTGATCTTAGACTTTAGTCCGGAATTGCGATCAATAACGTATCTCAAAGGTTCAACAACCAGCACATGGTCAGAAATAGATGGCTATAGCCGGATATCTCTTCCTTGGAATCCAACAAAGATGAAGACATTGCAAATTTACGTTTCTTGCACCCCGGAGTCCGCTACTAAGCGGGACTTCCCGCGGGGCAAAAAGACGGCGATATCGGGTTGACTCAGCGGATTTTAATCTTTACTTATACTCCCCACGATCTCGCCACAAATTGCCTAGCGATCACAGGAATTCCAATTGCAATCTCTATATCACAATGAGCAAGCCCGATACTCGTCTTAATGTTTCCCCGGTGCCTCCGGACGAGATCTTCGCCCTAAACGGCGCCTACGCCGTTGATCCCCACCCGCAGAAGGTTAGCTTGGGCGTGGGTGTCTACCGAACAGACGATGGAAAGCCATGGCCCCTTCCCGTCGTGCAAAAGGCCGAGAAGGCATTGGTGGTAGAGGACGACCTCTTCCGTCATGAATACACTGCGATCGAGGGCGATGTGCCTTTCCTAGGAATTGCGCGGGATCTGATGTTCGGATTCGAGGGCAAACAAAGCGAAGAGGAGGCCAAGGCACGCATTGGTTCCGTGCAGACTGTCGCCGGTACCGGTGCTAACCATCTCGGTGCCCTGTTCCTTGCCCACCACATGAAGCCCACCAACGTGTGGCTGTCCAACCCATCCTGGGCCAACCACCAGACTATTTGGGAGCTGGCCGGTGTGCCCCGCAAGACATACCCGTACTACCATGCCGCAACCCGGTCGTTTGATTTCGAGGGCATGATGTCAACCCTCGAGTCCGAGGCGCAGGAGGGCGATGTTGTGCTGCTGCATGCCTGCGCGCACAACCCCACCGGCCTGGATCCCAACAAGGAGCAGTGGGTTGCCATTGCTGACCTTTGCGAGCGCAAGAACCTCTTCCCATTCTTTGATTCGGCCTACCAGGGCTTCGCTTCGGGCTCTGTTGAGGAGGACGCTTGGGCCGTCCGCTACTTCTTCAACCACAAGCCGGATATGGAGATGTGTGTCGCACAGAGCTTCTCTAAGAACTTCGGCCTATACGGTCAGCGCGTTGGTGCCTTCCACTACTGTAACAACCGCGCCTCAGCCTCCATTCGCGACGTCGTTGTGAACAACCTATGCCACCTGATCCGTGGCGAGTTCTCCATGGGCCCGCGTGTTGGCTGCACCATCGTTAAGAAGGTCCTTACCAACGACGAGCTTACTGCCGACTGGCACGAGGACTTGAAGGTCATGAGCTCGCGCATCAAGGCCATGCGTAAGGCTCTGTACAATGAGTTGGTCCGCCTGCAGACCCCCGGCACTTGGGAGCACATTATCCAGCAGGTAAGCTATCTGAATTCTACTATGTGTAACATACTTTGTACTAATCCTTTTCTTAGAACGGCATGTTCTCCTACACCGGCCTTACCCCCAAGCAAGTTTACGCCTTGAAGGACAGGTACCACATTTACCTGCTCAAGTCAGGCCGAGCATCTATCAGCGGCTGTAAGGACCCCCAATCACGTCTAATCCTAACCTCTAAGCTGACAGTGTACACAGTGAGCCAGAAGAATGTCGCCTACGTAGCACAGGCCATTGACGATGTTATTCGCAACGAGAACTAAATTCGAAACGAGTCCAAACTGGATTTGTTTTGAATTCACATTTTGCTTAGCCTCGCATCTTAGTCTCTCAGAAGGGACTGATTTTTGATTCTGCAGACTACTGACTTTGCACCTGGCCGGCCCATCTGGTTTACGATGTTTTATGATAGAATTACAATTTAGAGACCCAAAGCCACACGTGCAATTTTGGTGTTCTTACCTACAATGCTCTCCAAATGTCTATACAGATAAATCAAATCAATCGAGTAAATGCGCAAGGCTGCATTAGGAGAATAACGTACTGTACATATAACAGCAAACACGAAAATGGGAAAGAAAAACGAGGAATCTGAGTTGGAGCACGTTCGTAAGAATCCTATAGTTTGCCCGCTTAGGTGAAAAAGACACGCCACCAACCACAACAAGGTAAAACTGTACTGGATAAAATCGTAGACGCTGGTCGACAAGGGAGACAAAGGTAGGATAGGGATGTCATGGAATTGACCGCGAAGCAAGGTTAAAGCAGAATAGACCATCAGAGGGCTATTCAGAGAGGAACTTCGTTGAAGTCACTTTCAATCTCTTTGCCTTTGCTCTTTACGTCTCCGAGTGTTGCCGACTCAGAGTTATCCTCAGGCCTGTGCTGTGGAAGGGTTTGCTCTTTTTCTGCCTCTTTATCGCTCCCCTCTGCAACTTCGACTGAAGGCTCCTCGTCCTTCACCTCTGGAGTAGGTGTCGCTTCTGGCTCACCATTCCGAGTAGGCTCATCTGCTTCCTCGGCTTCATCCTTGGGTGGAGGCGGAGGTGGTGGGATTTCATCATCTTCATCTTGTGATCCAACCTCTTGTGCTTGCGCCTGCGCCTGGGGTTGGCTACTCGTCTCACCTCCAGGGAAAGGAGTCAGAGGAGGCTCCTCGGATACCTGCTCTTGCACAACTTGTTCTTGCACAGGGCTCCGTTGGGGCTGAGTGCTAGGTCTTCCTTGGTTGGCAGTTGCAGACGAAAGAGTAGAAGTAGTACGCTGGTGGGACGAGCCGTGGATCACGCCGAGTTGACGAGCCTTAGGGTCTGCGTTAAGATAGTAGCCGCGCACGCCGGCAATGGTCCCCTCATTCTCACAAGCATCCACCCACTCCGGAACCACGACAGGAATGTTCATCTCTACAGCCTTCTCCCACTGCGCGCCCCGTCCTTCCGTGCAGACGAAGTGAGTGGTATCGATACGGACTGAGTCAATCATCTTGCCTCCAATACGGTCCAGTGCAGCACCGAGAGCCTCCTTTTGCTGCGGATCAAGGATGCCTGTTGTGACAGTGATACCGGACAGGTCGGTCATCTTGTGTGTACGACACGTCAGCTTCTCCGACTGATAGGTACCAGCAGTGGTCCGCAGGACCAGGTGGAATGAGTACTCGGAGTGAATGGCCAGACCACTGATTTTTGTGCTGCGTGTCTCGAGAGGGCGGGGTATGGTGCCGGCCTTGGAGCCATTGCGGTAGAGGGAGAGCGATTTCAGGGATGCAGTGGCTAGGTCGATTGGGTCCCACTCGAGGACGAGCGAGGTCTGGGTTGCATTGCGTAGGCGCAGAACTGGTGGCGACGGAGCCTTGAGACCGTATGTATTTAGGATTCGCTTCTGGAGGGCTTGGAAGGCAGATGCGCTCGCTGCTTCCGCGGCATGGTTGCGTGAAACGGTGATATCGACAATGCTGCCTGAGCTAATGTTGTTCGGAAGAAGGACTGAGGGGAATTCAATCTGTGCGAAATATCAGTAAAATGTCTTTGTTTGCTAGTGATGTTCCGCAGAATTGCAAGTTGTCGATGCCTGGAGAGTAGGGAGTAGGCGACCAGGGGTTTGAGCTTACGAGTCGATTGTCTTGGGTGAGGAGCACCGCAACACCGGCGTCTACCTTGCCGACTGTCAAGGAAACCAACATGGTGAGAATGGAGGGGGAAGTTTAGGATGAGTGGTGGTGGTTGTCAAGTTCTTAGCCTAGACCGGGGCGTTGATTCCGCCAGATCGGCATTTAGCGAGATACGGGAAGCTAAGATACTCGCGCTTCTATATTTACTTCTGTACCTGGAAGTCAATCATAAACAAATATTTCCAGATTGGAGGGTATAATGTATATAATGAAGAGTTGAGATAATTTGAATCTCAGATGCAAAGTAATTTCCCCCAAACGCCATAATCGCAATGTCGCCCAGGTGATATACATAGTCCAACAGTCGACTGCTAGTATGATACAAGATGTTATGGTTATATACATTGAATCTCACAGGGTCGCTTGGTGTCCCCAGCTTGCCTAGGCTTCACTTTTCGAGTCCGATGCATCGAAAACCGGTCATTTCCGTGGTTGTTCATGATCCAGAAGCAAGGATAATAGATGATGGACATCATTTTGGATCCTTTCAAAATCCTGTTTCACACATGGTGGCTGGACGTAGATCTCCAAAGTTCCTGACAGCTTTCTCCCTCGTGATGGAGATTCAGAAAGGAGAGGCTTCCCCAGCTTATCCAATCCTTGTTGCTTCAAAGCCTGCTCGAAAGCAATTCGCACTCTGCGCCCGCACCAGGAGCGAACCACCCGCTTGCTTTGTTGAATCTGTGATACTGAAACTCGCCACCATAACGTTTTCTTCTCACGATGTGCGCAGAGATCGACGATTTTGGGCCGGATCGGATGGGTTGGGGAGTTCAGGTAGCGCGCGGCAACTGGAGGAGTGTTGCATTTGGGCCAATACCGAAGCACCAAGCTCTTTGTAGATGTGGTAAACTTTGTCGTCATGATGGAAAATGACTACCGGTGGTTGTATGGGTATGCTGGCTTGGGCTGTGAAGTATAAGGAGAGTCGTAGCACATCGATATCATGTCGGATTGAACACCAGAAGGCTTCTGAAATTGAGCCAGCGAGGACCTATGGAGACTTTGGATGGACAATTGGAGGTTTGGGATATGTGTTCAGAGAGGTAGCATCAAGTCACAAGAAAGTGTCGTAAAATACTGCGAATGTACTCGGGAGGTCGTCAAATCTTGGGAATTGCGTGTGTCAGGTAGTCTCCTGCTTGTCAGGAAGGCCGCACGGAGGGCAAGACCCATGTAAATAAATTGATTGTTTAAGCTCTTAGCTGATCTGACAGCACATTGTATTGCAAGAGCTCAGATATTCATTAGAAATGCCCATAGCATTGTTCGCCTCATCTTTTTCTGCCAATCAAACTAGGCGGTCAAACCTACCCCGAAATCAGGCCAACAGGCAGAAATTTTACCGGAAGGAGCGAAATCACTGACGCCACTGGGCAGCCAGTGCCTGATTATGTAACATAAAAGATTTGAATAGCACAGAACCCCCACCTCCTTCTTTCTTCCACTCTCACTTCCCTAATCCACCTCGATTAGGCCTCTTCAGATCTTCGTTGATCTAAGGAAAAAACATACCCCAGAGAGCATCGACCCAGGTGAAGGTCGCAATATACCAATATGCCCAAGAATAAGGGAAAGGTAAGCGCGCAAAATATCCAGCCCCTCCTGTTGGTGATAATTTCCTTGCCACATCCACTGTCTCCTACTTGAGAGTAGCCACCTTACCCTCGATCTGGTGACTCTTTGGACTTGTGGAAGGATTTTTATCTTCGAAATCACTAAAATTACTTTGAGTGACACATGCTGACAATCAAATATAGGGCGGTAAGAACCGTCGTCGCGGCAAGAACGAGAACGACAACGAGAAGCGTGAGCTTGTCTTCAAGGAGGAAGGTCAGGAGTACGCTCAGGTCGTGAAGATGCTGGGTAACGGTCGTCTCGAGGCACTGTGCTTCGATGGCGAGAAGCGTCTCGCCCACATTCGTGGCAAGCTCCGCAAGAAGGTCTGGATCAACCAGGGTGACATCATTCTCCTCTCGCTCCGTGACTACCAGGACGAGAAGGGTGATGTTATCATGAAGTACACCGCCGACGAGGCCCGTTCTCTGAAGGCTTACGGCGAGCTTCCCGAGCACGCCAAGATCAACGAGACCGATACCTACGGCGGTGAAGGCCTGGACGACAACGTCGAGTTCGACGAGGACCGCGAAAGCGAGGACGAGAAGGAGATCGATGTTGACGAGCTCTAAGCTCATCCCCTGCTACTCCCAGAGTTCGATGCTCTGCCCTGCAAGAATACCCCGGATACATCCCTCGGTATTCTCCATGTTCGCCAAATTCCTCTCCTCCTACTCGCCGCCGTTGGCACAGTGCCGTCGCTCATCTGCTCCGAAACTGCCTTTGACTGCTTGCCACGCGAGGCATTTTTGACATCCGATTCCCTCTGTACATTCGTTCGAACGGACCAAGAGCATCAATCACCTCCCCAGCTTACGACGCTGCTTCTCACCTCGGCTTGCATGAGGATAGGGACACCCTCCCTCCGTGCTGGCGCTACTGCGACAACTTTTCCGGGCTTGAAGCCATCGAACAGAGGACCCTTGGTGTTTGTCTATTGGCGATTTTGGATTTTCGAAGGTGGATAGATCATCGATTCCACTTTCGTCCTTTTTGCAAATACCTTGGGATCATGACAGAGACTAAAATGATTTCTACGCACACATTATGAACTTGTGTGCTTGTTTTCCTGCATTGCATTGCATGCGGTGTGTTCACTCTGCTCAGCCTCAACTTGCTTTTCTTTTCGTTCTTTTATGATAGAGTCATGAAATGGGCCACGAGAATTGAAAATATCATCTTTAGACTTGCTCCTACAGATATGCCTTCTTTGTAGACTCATTAAGAGAGTAATTGGACGGATCAAGTAAATTCAAGTGACTGAACTCCAGCCAATTCCAGCCCACACTTTGAAGCGTTTACGTACAATTTCTAATAACTATTCTATGTACGCCTTTACAGAAATGCCAATCAAATCAAGAATCCAAACTACCCTTCCCCTTAGTTGATCCCTCTACACACTGCCCCCTCCCAAACATAGCCTTCGCAGCAGCCTGCCAAACGGTCTCCCGTTCCAGATAATTATCCAGCGTATAGAACAGCCGACATTCAGCAGCTTCATACACAAATTGCAGCGGAGTCTGACCATCCTCCGGATCATACTCATCCCGCAGGTTGACATTGCCACTCCACTGAAGCGACGCCGTCGTGCTCGGGCTGGACTCATTGAACGCCTTCCACTCGGCAGGTGTCAGCAGTGGCGATCCACTCTTGACGGAGTCTCTAACCAGCCCGTTCGCTTGCTCAATGTACCCATTTATATAGTTAACACCAAGTGACTGGCCACCCTTGACACCGCCGACGCCTTGCATGGGTGCCTTTTGTGGGCGACCACCAAAGGTGATTGTGCGGACACCCTGTCGTTTCATCAGCTTGACGAAAAACGCGCAAGTTGATACACAGTCGCCGTCTGTGATCTGCCATTGTACTTCTGTTAGTTCGTTTCCTATTTTCCGTGATGTGTGGGGAAGGATCACTTACAATAGCGATGTTATCCGCTGAGAAGGGTGACTTGCTTGGTTTCAACGGGACTGGTCCGTAACCGTTGATGGGGAAGGCCTTTGAAGAGGTGGAGCTATAGTTGAAGTTGGCTAATAGGCTAGAAGCAGAGCTCCCTAGAACTTCGTGCGGTCCATATAGATCTTCCCAGGAGCTGAAGTCAGTTTTCTGGTCAGGCCGGACCATCTGCCGATACGCGAACACATTGCTCGTGTCCGTCTTATTGTCGCGCGAGTATGCTTTCGTGAGGAACTTGGCTGCATCGTGTGCTCGGAACCGTGTCGCTGTGTAGGGCGCGGCATTGGGGAAGAGGATTCGGGACAGGTCGATGCCAATAGACATGTATCCACCGGGATTGGATGAGAGATCAATCAAGAGGTTCTTCTTTCCAGCTTCGGTGCTGTTTTGTAAGAAGTCGACCGCAATTTTGGCGACCTCTGCTGCACTGGATGAGAAGGTTGGCAGAAAGATGATTGCTGTGTCCTCCAGCCCTGATAATTTAGAGTAATATCCAGCAATCGAATTAGCTGAGTTGCGCCAGGTAGTGGTGGGAAATCCTGCTATTTCAGAAGAGGCTTTCTCGGCGCCGGACGGACTGGTCGAAGCGGTAGATAAGGCTCGAGGCAGACACTCTATGTCGTAGAGATGCGTGCCGTTTTTATAAGAAAAGAACTTTTCGCTCGGGGTGGCTGTTTTCTGGATAGTCTTTTCAGTGCCATTGCCAAATTTGAGAGATAGCTGAGCGCCATCAGTCCAGTCTCCAACGGAAGCCCATATTCCATTCACGCTAGTAGGAGTGTTGGTGACACTGCGAGCTGGCGCGGGGAATACTCGATTGTACCTGGGACAATCAGTGTGATTCAATACCGTAGCCACAGAAGGGTACGTACTGCGCATCACGATCTTGGAGGTTCTGATCATTGGCATATGATTCGAGGTACGTAGCCACGTTGGTTCCGTTGATGGACACGAGAGGCGAGACGGCGTCTGGGTCTACCTTCTGCAGTTTTGCATCACCTGGTATATTAGTTCAAAGACTTGACACATACATCGAGCGGAACATACCTAAAGCGTATACCTGGGGAAGTGAGAGCCCATCTTTTGAGATTGACACTAAAGGCATATCAATTTGATATGTGAAGATTGACTGTGAGCATAGCTGGAAGGCCAAATGACCATCATGGGCTGTTCTGATAAGATGGGTGATTTCCAAGTCCATCTCAAATTGACTGGTATAGCTGTTGCTCTTGGCCTTAGCCATAATCGTATCGATTTCCCCCATAATATCCGTGGAAGGCATGGTATACCCCGATGGGGGATCTAGTAATGCAAGTTAGTCATGTTCAAGGGACCCTATTCGAATTGATATCACTGACTCTTTAAAATATCGATAGTTGACTGGAACTCGAGGATCTTGCGAACCTGAATCAGAAAATCAACGGCGCGGTCCGAGTCAAATGGCATGGATAGCAGACATTGATGTGCCAGATCATGAGGTACAATGGCATTTGCTGCGACCGTTAGTTATCAACTAGTTGATAATTTTGAGTCCATACTCACTATGGTCTTGATTGGCATCTTCTACCAACTTGCTGACTTGAGCACATGGCTCAACATCGCGTATACTTCTGGCAGCACCGACTACAGCCGCCAGAGCGACCGGCGTCAACACAGTCTTGAGATGCATTGTGGTATGTTGAAGATGTCAGGAGTCTGCCATAATATTTCCGACGTCAAAAGGACCCATTTACATCCCCACTCTTTCTCAGGGGCCCTTACTTGGCTTCGGCTGTTGACTGGGACAGTTGACTGGGGCTGTTCTGTTTTTAGGTGATCTGCACGATCAACGCCAAGACGAAAAGAGTCCTTATTGGGGCACAGAGCAGGCCAGGTTCAAATCGAGTAAGACTCCAGAATTCGGATGTCTCGGTTGTTTGCTTTGATTTGCTTTTCCTTGATGGGATGATGTACATGATAGGTGTGTTTGTTACACATTACCGTATTTGACATACACAGCTCTTTTGTGAACCCTTAAAGAATGATGCTAATTGAATATCGTATTCATCATTTCATTAATGTACTGGAGTCTCCAGGGCGAGTCTTCTATTAATCAAATACGCTTTTTTGGAAGAAAGCAACGATCTTGCGTGCAGCTTCTTTACCAACCAGTGGATCCAGCTGCTCAACCTCCATGTTGGCGATGTCTCTAATATTGTCCGTTTCAATGATCAACCGCTCTAGAGCATGGGGCGTGACGCCCGGAACAGCTCGTAGCATGTCTTGTGGAAGGAGATTGAAGGTACGGTGCTCAATCCCAGCGGCAGCCATGACGTCGGCAGAGCCAGACGAATTAGATATGTCAATATCAAGGCCGAGTTGAACTGCGCGGAGTGGATCTGGCTCCTGAGCGTTCTTTTTGAGCTCTGCGAAAATCTCGGCTGTCTGATAAGGGGATGAAGACCAGATGATCTTTAGGCGTGGGAAGGCAAGAGTGAGGAGCACAAGTAGATGCTGGGCGGACTTCGGATTAGATGGATTGGCAAGCGAGCTGCTAGTAGTGCTGGCTGCAGTGCCGGAAGATGAGAAACCATAGTCTGTCATAAATGTGGGTCCTGTTGGAACGGAGGCGAACGCATCGAAAGTGAAAGATTTGTTCTGATCAAATTCAATCAATAGTAACGGGGTCTTGTAATACTGGAGCATCGTCTCGGCCTGGTTGTAGAGTCGGCCGTTCTTAAGGGAGGTTATAAGATCACGGATCGATTTCCTTTCGACACAAATGTCTGGAGTGAGAATGTAGTCACCCACGGTGAGCTGGCAGGGAATGACGATCATGTTGTTTCCATGTAATAGCGATGGTAGGGCACTTCGGAATTCTCGCACATCAACTACAACCCGAGGAGGAGATGCTGTTGCTGCTAGTCTTCCTCCTCCAGCAATACGAGTATTGACCGTCCGGAGAAATTGCTCCTGGGGGTCTTCATCCTTTTTGTCATGCGTCAAGGTGACCGCCATGTTCTGAAAATCACATTAGCTAGTATTTCACATTGTGCAGCTGGGTAGCTTACCCCCTTCTCTTTGATCAGCTTTGTGAATGAGTCTTTCTCTCGTCGGACAGCACTCAGATACCGCTGTTCTTCAACAGAGCCACCATAGTACATGAAGTAAACCTTTACGCTTCGTCCCGAATGGGAACTGCGATATACCTCAACCCTTCGAATAAAGGCGGGATCGGGTTCGTACATGATGATGTATCGCGGGCGTACTTCCTCGAGTATATGCTCATCCATGTCACCGTCGTAAGGGTGTATCATGACCAGGTCGTTCATATCATACAACTCGTAGAAATCTTCCATATCCTCCAGGTCATCGACAATAACTTCCTCTTTCTGCATTTCTTCGACCTCAGTGGGTTCAATCTCACTTAGCAAGCTGACGACTTGACCGGGCAATTCGACATCGGTCTGGACACTGCTGTTTGGCACACGACCTGCAGCCGAGGTGATTGCACCGCCGCCACGTACTCGACGACGTTTGTTTGGGGGAGGCCGTCCTTGATGCGCACTCTGGGCTGCTGATGACTCAGAAGGTTTTCCAGATCTGTCATCCTCTCCTGACTGGGACAAGTTTTTGTTGACATTCGAGAGAGACCTCTTCCAATTGAGGTAGTCTCGCAGACGGCGCCGCATCATAAGCTCCGCAGAAGGCTTGTCCTCACTCTGATCATTGTCCTCTTTGGATTCGGACCCTCGAGCAATTTTGGAATGCATAGTGCCAATGTACTCGCGAAGCTGGCGGCATACCCGTTGGTCACTACACATAATCAATATGGTGTTATTCGATTGATCCATTCTCGCAGGATGGAGGTAAGCATCGTGTTCGATTTCTCCAAGGACCTCTGATAGGACACTCCACTTCGGGAGTTCTTCTAGAACCGGGTGCAACTCAGAAGAAAATGTTGTTGAAGATGAAAGGCGGGTCAGTTCGTTGCTCAATTTGCCTTCGTACGCTCGTGATTTGGCAGTCTGGAAAAGCACATGGGCAGCATCAAGGAAAAGCCACGGAGAGTAGTTATGTTTGTTGGAGCCAGGAGGCGGAGCATGCGCAGACACGATAGTATCAAGGTACTTGATAAAAGACACCGCATCGTAGCTAAGTAAAGCACTACAGAGCGGTTAGCATTCAATATATGAAAAGCAACGCGGAAGACACACTGAAGGACTCCTCGCAGATCTGTCAGATCGCTGACGATTTGCCTCGTCCTGAAGCTCACACGATGCCACATTGGGTCTAGTTGACGTCTGATAATCATATCGAAATTTTTGTGCAAAGCACTGTCTAACGTCCACTCTTCCATATCTAGCCCGGTGTTACTCTTCCTGAGTTCAGTGATACTGATCTCTACGCATTCCAGGACAGCATTCTGGATTTCCCTCATTTTGTCGCTCATGGGAACTTCCAACTCAATCACTTCTGCCTTGCGATTTCCTTCTAGAGACTCGGCGACAGAAATGTGGAATCTGGGCCACAGTGATGCCTTGCGTAGGAAAAGATTTCGCAGCATATTAGCTAACGGGGCAAAGCCCGTTGTGAATGGCTCCGGGGAGTCTGAGAATGCTTTCAAGAAGCCGCGCTTATTCGATTGTCGATAAACCCGGACAATGAATGCTTCGAGGGACGTCGCCAAGACCTTATCAGCATGCAAAATAAGCATACCAGTGACCTTCTCGGGATCAAGAAGTTCTAGAAAGATCAGCGAGTGTCTGGTCCATAATACTAGACATACATACTCGACAGCAAGTCTACAACCAATATTCTGGATGTCACACTCAGAATACCCCCTTCGTCATATATTCTCTCTCTGGTAATTTGTCAATACACCGGAATCAACAAACCAGAACCGAGAAACCCACCGCATCGGCACCGTAGCTTTCTCGGTATTGATCACTTTCAATCCCCTCGCAAGAGGAGACTTGCTGGTAGCATAATGCTCCGCCAATGCTGATTTCGGGATCAATCAGCTTCCAATACCAGCGTCGAACCTGGGATGTAAACCGATTCACATACCCTCTCCGATCCATTCATTCTCGCGTTCATCTGCACCCACCACCAGGACTAGATTGTTCCCCGCAGCATCGTAAAAATGTAGGAGATTCGTTATTAGGTGTAGAAGCCCCAGGCCTCGTGCAAGGATGACTAGCTCGTCTTCGGCGCGTAGTTCGGTGAAGAGTTCCTGCTGGTATTGCTTGACAGGGGTTAGCGGTAGGCCTACGCCGAGGTTATAAGAAACTTACCAGTGGCAGAGATAGCTTCACTGGCACATTAGACCGTTCTGGAGGCATTTGGAACACTTCCTTACGCGTTGTGAAGTGAGGGGACCGGGCAGCGAGATGTCGCGCGATCACGTGTGCTGTGATGCATGACGTAATGAAATTATATACCTGAGGACCATACCTAGGAGTGTACGTAGCTTTTCAGGAGAATGGCCTGATATTCAAAGGATACGCTTTCTTCTACTTCTTTTGTGTGGTTTGCTATATAACATTTACGTAGTTACTCTCCGTATGTTGGTGTTGGACCTTGTTTGGGTCGTGACCCGTTATGGATAGACTGGACAAGAACAGGTTGCCTAGAATAGTAGAAACTGGTATTGAATTAAGTACAAAGAAAGAAGGCTTGTTGGTCCATGGTCTCTCAGTTGGATGAATCGTTCAGCTCCTTCGCACGTGCCTCGAGCTCCTCTTTGGAAGCCTTGGGGGGCATATCTATAAAGTGTCAGTTGCGGCCTTCTGTGGGTCTTGTAGTCAACGTACTGTCTGGAATCTGAGGTCCCTTTGATATGAAGTCTGCTGCAGTCGCTTTCTGTTGGCCTGGTTTCTGCTCGGCCTCATTGCCTCCATTTTGGGGCGCAGATGGGAAGTCTGACGACTCGGGGATGACTGGCATTCTGGAGATATAGAAGAGTTTCTTGTTGAGTTGTCACTAGCTAATACTAGCTCTTGTTCCCTGGTAGATAGATTAAATGTATCTGGCAGTAGTTTGATGGTGAGTTGAAGAAACAGGCCTTGAAGGTTGGTTGGATGTCTGCTTTATAGATCTCAAGCGGGATGACGTCGGTGGTCAGGTTGCAACAAATAGCATGATAGAAGTTGTCTCAACGTTCAGTTTGTAAAACAAGAATAAGATGTAAATCCAATTGAACCTATAAATTTTGGTTATGTTTACTGGGTACCTCGGTGTGCAAGCAGCTTTACTTGGGGGCATGCCAGACTAAGTAGCAATGCCTTCGAGGCATAACCAGAAAAGTGATATGAAGCGTTGAATTTCAAAGCATGAAAGATAAGATCGATTTTGATTAAAATAGTGACTATGTAGCATTCTACCTAGTTCGACGAGTACGATCTATAGAGAGTTTGATAGCCATACCTTTGCACGCTGATACATCCTCTAAGCACCATCATACACCACATACTCCTCTGGGCATGAGGTGAAGTTCATCAAACAGTTTATATGATACTTAGTAATTGAAAGGGGCACGCTAGACCGTATTCCGCGATCCTCGTTACTCATGGAACGTATGTTAAGACATCAATTTGTATTTTCAAAGTAGTTGATTCAGATTTGAGATTCTCAAAAGATCAAACAGAATGAATGTATGACCTTACACTTTCATAGTACAAAAAAAGTACCATGTGCCGTTAGCGGTGCTGCGGCTGGCCCATGTCACTCCGGTGTATTGGGTCCGCCCCGCCTACACACCTCCGGTCTATCCTCTCCAACTCTCAAGGCAACCGCCGGTCGGCTCTTTAACACACCAGCCTTTGAATATAATCGATCACAAAGAAAACCCCTGTACATACCGTATCAGTCGGTGTGTCGAGGGCGCTATCTCATCCTTCGAAGATACCCGCCCAACTGCAATGTGTGCACTACTCACCTAACCACCTTTCGAACTATCACCTTTGCCCTCTTCGTTTAGTGGGGGATCACCTCGATTCACCATGCCCTCCATACTCAGCGATGCCGACAAGGAAACAGTGAAGCGGAATGTCCCCAAACCCGCGAACAAGATCCTCGCCGTAGCTGTCGCGCGACTCTACGTCGCCTACCCGGATCCACAGAAATGGACATATACTGGAATTCAAGGCGCTGTTGTCCTCTGCAATGACCTTGTGGGAAGGACTTTTTGGCTCAAAATAGTCGATGTCTCGGTACGCAGTCCATACTGGTGTTGAAATAAGAATAGACGTGCTGACAATTCGTTTTATGTAGCCCGCTAGCAGGGGGGTGATCTGGGACCAGGAGATCTATGACAACTTCGCTTACAACCAGGACCGAACCTTCTTTCATACATTCGAGCTTGAAGACTGCCCCGCCGGTCTGTCCTTTGTCGACGAGAAGGAGGCCAAGACCTTTATTAAGAAGGTGCAGGAGCGTGAGAAACATGCAAGCAAAGAGACATCCAAAACTCCATTCGCCTCTAGTCGAGGCCAGGGACCTGCTCCTGTTGCCAATGGAAAAGTAGGACGGTCTTTGTTTGGTAGCTTGTTGCATCGTTCGGCCCCGGCTCCAAGTGCACCGCTGCCGACAGCACCTGCGCCTTCAATACAGGTCGCTCCGCCACCTCCGATGATGTCCCCAAGCGTGCCAGCAGCTCAGCCAGATCTGCCATTCGACACGAGCGACCCCTCTTGGAAAGGACTCCTGGATGAGCTTAAAGGGATGGGAATTACCGAAGACCAAATCGCCGAGAATTCCGAATTCATCAAGGCTTGGATTGACCAGAAGCAGGCGGCGGCGGCCGAGTCTGCTCCCATTGAAGATCAGAACAAACCAAAGGCTGCTCCTCCTCCACCTCCACCTTCTGCACCTCCCGCGCCGAAGGTGGTTTCGATCAGTCCTCAAGACACGGGTTCCAGCTCGACAAGCAGACGGGGACCGCCGCCGCCGCCGCCGTCACGGAAAACACGTTCTGAAGCACCAGAAGAACCCGTTTCCCTCCCTCCTCGTGAACCATCTCCACCTGCGCGAAGATTCAACGCGCCCCCTCCATTTGCAGACGCAGGAAAATTCGCTGAGCCAGCCGGCCCTGTAGGTCCGCGGCGTCCCCGCGCAACCTCAAATGTCAATCCTGGGCCTCCACCACCCCCGCGACCACCAAAGACACCAATGGACGATATTCACCATAATCAATCGACTCAATCTCGATTTGGGGTACCGCCAGCTTTCTCTGGCGATCGCAAGGTGTCTGCACCACCGGCACCACCCAGCCGTAGCTCTATACCAGGTGGGCCTCCCCCTCCGCCGCCTCGCACGGCGAGCCCAGCAGCACCGCCCCAACTGCCCCCCAAACTGCCGCCCATGACCTCTACTGGACCTCCTCCTCCGCCTGCCAGGAGCCCCGTTTCACCTCCACTCCCACCCCCACCAGCGTCTCGACCTGTGCCAGCTGCACCGTCTTCTCCTGCAGCAGCTCCTCCCCCACCACCAAGAGGACCAGTCTCGCCTCCCCCTGCCCCGCCCTCGGCACCCTCGTATTCCCCTAGTATTCCGCCGCCGCCGCCGCCGCCGCCTGGTTCTGCGGCACCCGGCCCCCCCGCCTCGTCCGCCTCCAGGCCGTAATGGCCCCCCCAATGCCTCCCCCTCCCCCTCCTCCGGCGCCTGTGTCAGGGGCACCAGGTGGACCGCCGCCACCTCCACCCCCGGACCACCTGGAGGTGCTGCTCCCCCCTCCCGCACCTCCACCGCCTGGGCTGCCTGGAGGTGGTGCTCCTCCTCCGCCTCCACCGCCTGGCGGTGCTGCGCCGCCCTTGCCAAAGTCCACTGGTGGACGTGACGATTTGCTAGCGTCCATCCGAGCTTCTGGTGGTAACAAAGGCGGAATGTTGCGCAAGGTCAAGGATACGGAAAAGAAAGATCGTAGTGCTGCCTTGGTACCGGGAGCTGCCAATGAGTCTTCAGCTTCGACTCCCAACGCAGGAGGCGCTCCACAAGGTGGTTTGGCCGGCGCATTGCAAGATGCCCTCAACAAGCGAAAACAGAGAGTCAGCGGAAGTGGTATGTCAATTGCAATACTCAAACATGGGTCTATTTGCTAACTATCTTGGTAGATGACGAGAAAGACAATGACGACGATTGGTGAGCAATTAGTTTTCGGTGGGATTGTTCAAGTATTTGAAGATACCAAGGGTTTTTGTGCATTCTTGCGAGCATTGAGCATTATGTTTCTTGGTCCAGCGTTTTGCCTAAAAGTTTCGCTTCAAGTGTCAACAAAAGAGGGGGCAATGCACTTTGTATATAGCTTTCAAAGGTAGATGCAGTGGATACGAGAGATAGTCTCAGTACGAGGAAGTAGATGTTTCTGTTTATTCTTCCCATTGCTAGGGTGCCTGGTGTTTGGACGAGTGGAGTTCAGTTTACACCGCCATCAACAATGGACATCAACCTGGGGATATTCATAAATTTCACTATCTGCACCCTATACAACGTTTGGAAGTAAACCCTGTCTCTTGTCTCTCCCTGTACGGTAGTCATCAGTCTCGAGTTTCGCTTAAGTTTCATTTTAGAGCCACCTCTTCTCATTGCTGATGAAGCCTGAGTCTCCATCTCTTGGGTCTTTGCCCGTTGAAATCCTGTGCTCTATCTTCCGTCTCTTGGACCCAATTGGCCTCATGTCCATCAGCCAAAGTAACTCCAAATTCCGCACAGTGGTGCAGCCACAAAAAAACCATCTACTGGAGAGGCTGCTTGAACTTGAATGCCGAGAAGAAGTCGGGGGAGTCACCCCCATCTTCCGATCAAAAGACAATCACCTCGACCCTGTTTTCTCGTCAAAAGAGTGGCGTACTATGCGCTGGGCCTGTAGTTTATGTCTCCAGATGCTTCCAAACACAGCCTTCAACAATCACTCTATCCTACGACTGCAGTACCGCAAGCCATTACCAGGATCTCCGGCAGCAAGTTCTTACACGAGCTGGGAGCCAACAAGAAATTGGAAACTCCGCAAGCCGTACCGTCTGTATAAACAACAATCCGACTCTAGGGATGAGGATCGGAAAATACGGCGTCGATACGATCTCGCATCCAAGTGCAACACATTGAGATCGAACAATCGCGATAGAGGTGCAAGATTAGCCAGTTTTCAGGACAGCGGAATTATCACCTTCCAGGGCTTTACTCTGGATGAATACTGCTGTATCACACAAGAGGAAGAGCAGGTCCTGCTGGACCACGAAGCACGCCTCATTGAGAGAGAGCGTTGTGGCTTCAAGCGACACTTGCGCAAGTGCAATGAATGTCGTTCCCGGCGTGGTTAGCTCCCATCTGCTGTGTAGCGAGGCACAGACAAGGTACCCATAATGCAGAGTCGTTGTATGCTATTTGATACTGCCTTGGACCGATATTTCCCAGGTGTTCTACCATAATGAGAGCTGTGAGGTCGACGGCCAATGCTCCAATTCTAGAATGATTTCGCGAAGATGGTTTTGATTCTCTCCGGGTTATGTATATGATGTTATCTCCGATATGGTCGTCGTGGCATGATTTACGTCCGTTTCATGTTAGATTTGCTCTCAATCATTTGATACCTACCACTGTGTCTGTCTGAGAGTTCCAAAACTGGGATGAGAGTGAGGTCACGATCGCCAGTTTATTTATCAACGGGTGGTCCTGTGGCCATTGTTTTACGCGAGGTCATGGGCACGAGAAGCTTCTTGAAATACTCGTGAAATGGTTGGGCTACTGCTTGGATAGCGAGCGAGTGTGGTTACCACTTATCCTTTTGGCTACCTGAGAGAGGCAAGCGAAGCGAAAACAGAAGCTTACGCGGGTATCCTCGATCTATGAGGTTGCACACCTGATCTGGGTGATACAATGCCAAATGGAGATAATGGAGGAGGACCAGGGTGATGACCTGCTTGCCGAGAAGGAAGTACTTTGACCTAAGCGCATGAATCATATTATAGCAGTCAGTATCTAAATAGAACTACGCCAAATGCCAGAGTACGAGAGATTTGAGAAACAGCAAGCGGTGTTTTTATGTACCAATCGTCTAGTTCTGATAATCGGATGAACATTGTTCCGGCCAACGGGAAAAAAGCGTATCGTGATCTGATCGGGAGAACTTGCGTACGGCTCAGTCGATTATCCAGAGACATGCTGTCTCCGAGGCTGTCTGCGCCTTCTACCTCTTTACTGCGCTTCTTACGATCACAATCTGGGTTCACAGCCGCACCATCAGCATGCGCTTATCCGAAGCGTCTTGCTAGCCGCGATAAAGGCTTCTCAACAGGGCCATCCCCGAAACTCTCGAGCTGGGCGCATCTCGATGCCTCTCATAGCTCCACGACCCTTAGTACCACCAGAGCAACAGTCTCGCCGCCATTAGTGCCGACGCAGCTGAAATTCTCGCGTCATGCGTCAACCAAAAGCCGACCCTTTCTCCGACGGCTTTTTGATCTCAAGCGGAACAAGGCTTGCGAGTACAAGAATCAAGGCCCGGCTGGCCCTGGACTTATGGATGAAGGTACGGAGGGGCTCTTCAACATTGGCCGCAGCCTAGCCGCCAAGGCGTCAAATGAGCTACGAATTCGATGCACGGAGTTTGATATCAATGGAGATGTCACACTCGTGAACGGAGAATTCCGGAAACAGGAGCTGATCGCCAAGGTTAGTAAAGAGGACTGGGTTGAGAGCTTAACATTTGCTGACCGGTGAATCGCGATACAGTATGGCCTGCTTCCTCGCGATCTACGCAAGATTGATTCATCGACTCTTCCTCATATCCTGGTGCGACCCAGGGCAATCCTCATCAATCTGTTGCATCTAAGGGTTCTCATCAAAGCGGACCGGGTGCTTGTGTTCGATGCCTATGGATCAACAGACTCATACATGCAATCGCTGTTCATCTATGATCTAGAAGGAAAGCTCCGCCAGAAACAATCCCAAGGTGCCGGTCAGCCTAGTCAATCACTGCCGTACGAGTTCCGCGCGCTGGAAGCCGTTCTCATTAGCGTCACGAGTGGTTTGGAGGAGGAGTTTAATGGAGTGAGAGATCCCGTCGTGCGCGTTCTTCGTGCACTTGAGGAGGACATCGACCGAGATAAGCTCCGACACCTCTTGATCTACTCCAAGAAGCTGGGTACATTCGAGCAGAAAGCTCGTCTGGTACGAGATGCTATTGATGATTTGCTAGAGGCCGATGACGATTTGGCAGCAATGTACCTGTCTGAGAGATCGCACGGCAAAGAGCGAGAAGAAGATGACCATCAAGAAGTGGAAATGCTTCTGGAGTCATATCACAAAGTGTGCGATGAGATTGTTCAGGCCAGTGGAAATTTGGTGACGAATATTCGTAACACGGAAGAAGTGTAAGTTCGACCGTTTCTTCCCCACGGAAATCACATTTAACATAAACCAGAGTCAAAGCTATTCTCGACGCCAACCGCAACTCGCTCATGCTCATGGATCTCAAATTCAGCATTGGAACACTCGGCCTTGCAACAGGAACATTATTTTCCGCTCTGTACGGCATGAACTTGAAGAATTTCATCGAAGAATCAGACTTCGGTTTCGGAGGTGTCTCCGTGATCTGCTTTGCTCTGACTGGTCTCGTCTGCGTCTACGGTCTCTCCAAACTGCGCAAGCTTCAACGGGTCCGCATGTGGGGTGAATCCGGCGTGGGAGGCTCCACTTTTGCTCCTTTATCCCCAAAGCGCAGCGCACTCGCTAAGAATCGTAATAACTGGCGTGCCGATTCAATTGAACCAGTCTGGGGCAGTCTACCAGGGGAAGGCCGATCTGAGCGCATGAGACGTCTCAAAGAAAATTCAGCTGTAGCTGCGGCTCAAGCTGCTTCGAGAAACTTCAAATCGACGCCTGCCACCCAGGCTGCTATGCAGGCATCAGCTACGGCCTCTAGCAATGCTTGTGCGGGAAATGGCAACGGTGATGGGAAAGAGACCGTTTGCCCCGAAGGTCATATCAAGCCTGAGGCATGATACGCTGTGATTTAAGTATGTGTGACGGTTTGATTGCTTTGGAATGGGACTAGGCGTTTTTATTTGGATCTTCAACTAATAGGAGCGGAGTTGAAGAGGTCTGTAACATCACTGTACATTAACACATTCATCTATTCCCCCACTCTATGTTTTATTATGTCTTGTTTAGGTGTGAATAGATTTAGGGCATATCTGCTGACATACCAATACCATTTCTGTTATACTTGTATGCTGGAGCGCATAGCTATCTAGAATGCTATTCAGTATATTTAATGAGCTTTGTGTGTTATCCCTTGTCCCTGGTGAAGACTCTTCGTCCGTTCAACCCAGAGCTTAGCAGCTAGCTGGACCCCACCATCTTTAGAACATTCACGCTCAACCACTTCACTGATCTTGTTCAAAACAGCGTCTCCTTGGCCTCGTTTTGCTTGAGAATCTCTAGAAGTCAAGTTCTCCGCCCGCCCCCTCGTAACCTGCTGTCGATTCCCAATTAACGCCATGTTGATCGCACCAGGAGTACGTAACCACATCTTCTCAACGTCAAACCCAATTTCCTCCGCAATACTCATAGTCTTCGCAGCAAGAGATCCAATCATTGAATTCAGAAACCCGCTCTCAGTCTTCTCTTCCATCTTCATTGCACGAAGTGCCCTCAAATCACCAGATGCAGGCTGCGAATTCTGCTCTATGGCATCATCAACTTTCCCTGCAGGATTGCCATTCGCACTCTTTGGCGGGGGGTAGCGATACGAAGAACCCGCAAGTGAACGTGAACAACACGGCACCACAAAGAATGGTAATGGTGACGAGGGACTCGATAAAGCAGCCATTATAGGAGTCCATACGGTCAGCTCATCTGCATGGTCTGATATGACAAATGTATCATCCGGAAAATCGCCGGTGTGTATCTCCACGCCGATTCCTTGGTCAAGTACATCCGCAAAAGGCCGAGGGATGAAGATTCTCTCTTTCAGACATTCCCGTATCTCGGGTGGAAATGTCTCCCAGGACTTTCGGCGGCAGGCGTCAAAGCCTAGGCCCTTGTATCCTTCCATGAGAAGGATGTATACGAGTATACCATTCCCACAAGCCAGGTCCACGAACCCTGGGAACAGAGCTGTGCTCTTCGATGACTGTTTCTGTTCTCTTGCTGGTACAGCGCCGTACATGCTCCTCCATAGTTCGATTAGACATGCGGCGAGAGACAACTGCTCGAGGACTTGGTTGGGTGATTCAAGTTGTTCAACCCAATTCTGGCGCAGCTTTTCTGCGTACTGAAGTTTCAGGCGAGTGTATGTGTTTTGGATGAGATGTGCTGAGACGATATCTCCATCTTGGTCACCTCGTTCAACCCAGTCCAGACTCACATCTCTACATGTGAACCGGCGTTCCATTTTGGCGGTCTAGATGAGCGGATACAGCAAAGAGTTTCAGTGAACTGCTCTCCGGGGAGCTCAATTGGTTCGCTGGGGGTCTTTTCAGGTCAATAGATTGCCTGCCCACGGTTTCATCGGTGTATCAAAGGGTATTGCGTAGAAGCTAACATGGTGGCATGGATATTTGCCTGGCAGAATATTCGACTTCGCACTTGATGCAAGACTGCGAACAAGGCGGAGAGAAAGGCGGTATACTCCATATATAGAAGCATTTATATCCAAGGCCAGAGAGAAGGTATAACTGTACTATAGTCCAATAGGTGCTTGTCGATCTCGTCAGCATAGCCTGGCCATTGGTAAGAACAAGTCATGGGAGACCATCGTCATATGGGCTAAGCTGTCACCAATTTGAAGACTAGTTGATAGTTGACTGAAAGAAGTACATATACTCGAGAAAATTAAAGCCTACTACAGATGTATGTAAAATATCAATTCTGTAAGACAAAATGAAAATTACAACACCTCCGAAATATACATCCCCATACATCCCCATATAGTCCAAATGTACGCGTCAACCCACGGTAACACCCAACAACAGCAGTCATAACTACGCAATACCCAAAAGTAACTATAAACACCTCAACCTCGTAATCCATCACCTCCATACCCTCTCAATACCTCCAATCCCCTGAAAAACAAACCCTTCCAAAATGAAACTGGTCCAAATCTCCCTCCTGACCCTAACCCTCCTCCTCCCAGCCCTTACAGCTGGCCACCCAACCGCACGTCCTCCCGAAGAACACGAATCCCAGCCCCACAAGCACCACTGGAGCTTCGATCTATTCCACAACAAGCACTGCAGCGGCACGACAATCAGCCACGAGGGCCAAGGATCTACAGGCTGTCGACCGAACATCGAAAACGACGGCGCGCAAGCATTCACCAACCTCAACATCGATCCAGGCTGCAAGGTGAAGTTTTTCCGCGATAAGAGGTGTTCTCGACACGCGATGATTGAAGAGGTGAAAGCCGGTTCTCATACGACGTGCAAGGCCATCTCGCGAAAGAAGATGGCTCATAGTTTTGAGGTTTCTTGTCGATGATATACCTAGTTTTGGGGTGGTTGGTTACCCAGCAGACTACGAGGCCGGAATAAAAGTTGTTAATGTTCAATTCATTTGATTGTCGAATACATTCAGTCTGATTCCGTCGTATATGTGTAGGTTGATCATCCATAGTTGGAAGTGTAGACAGGTGTAGAGAAAAAGATAAGCCTGTTATCCGGGTCCACCATGACGCAAAGAGACCCAGCGCTGAGTATGAAATATGAACCGGATTCTCTCTCTTCTTTTTTTCACTCTCTTTCATATTCAATTCAAATCACACATAATGGCTCCTCGATGCTTTATTATCCGCCACGGCGAGACAGAATGGTCACTTAATGGTCGACACACTGGTCTCACCGATCTACCGTTGACAGCGAATGGAGAAAAGCGCATTCAAGCAACGGGGAAAGCACTCGTTGGAAATGACAGATTGGTTGTTCCCAAGAAGCTCGTTCATGTGTAAGAGAAAAAAAGCCCTATACATTGTTGATCAATATCAATATCTCCGGAGACAACTAACACTCCATTTAGCTTTGTCTCTCCCCGTCACCGCGCCCAGCGCACCCTAGAACTCCTCGAACTTGGCTGTAAAGGACGAATGCCCTGGAATGAACAGAACAAGCCCGAAAACGAAGGCGCTATCCGGACTGAGGCTGAGGTTGAGGTTACGGAGGCGATTAGAGAGTGGGATTACGGGGACTACGAGGGTTTGACGAGCAAGCAGATCCGCGAACAGCGGGCTGAGAGAGGCGAGGGGCCGTGGAATATTTGGACTGATGGATGTCCCGGTGGAGAGTAAGTGGTTTTTTTTTGTCTGGTTCTAGAGCTTGCTTCTAGCTATGCGTTCAAGCATTGTGTCGTCTTCCCAGGCTAACATCCATTTCTCTCCTACCAGATCCCCAGAAGATGTGATCCGCCGTCTGGACGCTCTGATCGACGAAATCAAGAACAAATACCAGCGTCCCGCCTTCGAGAACCCAGATGAACCCAAGGGCGATGTCCTTGTTGTCGCGCACGGCCATATCCTGCGTGCTTTTGCCATGCGCTGGACTGGGAAGCCGTTGACGGAGACAACGCTGATTCTCGAGGCTGGTGGTATAGGCACACTCAGGTTAGACTCGCGAAGAATCCTCCCCTGTCGTAGTTATGGAACACAGCTAACGTGACTGGCATATAGTTACGAACATCATAACATCGATGAGCCGGCCGTTATTCTCGGTGGTCAGTTCGTGGTAGAGTAGATTAACACTTCCGAAAACAGGAAGAGGGAGGTTATATATCTGCTGTTGGACATGGTTAGCATAAGTCATAGGAAGTACCATCCATAGCCTTGTTATGAAGTAATGAAGTGCAATCATGATATATGCAACTTACCATATCAAATCAAATCAAAACTCAATCATTGATAAGTCATCTTCAATCCTCATCACTCTCCTCCCTCTTAATCCCCCCTCGGCATCAGTTTTCTTATCCTTATCCGCGTTTCCCTTAACCCCCTCTTCACCAAGAATCTTCGCAGAGCCCATAAACAGCGCGCCGGAATACCCGCCCAGGAAACGCATGTCTGCCGCCTGCACAGCGGTCATGCGGAGTAGGTTCTCCGTGTCAGCGAGGTTTGCGTTGAGCTGTGCGAGCTGGGAATGGAGGTGGGCATATTGACGGGATTTGGCGGCGGACATCGAAGGGGTGGAGGCGTTGGGGTTGTAATTGGGGGTGTATGTGGTATTTGGGTTTGTGTTGAATGTCTGGGTTGCTGTTGTGTTGTAGTCTCTTCCTGGAAGGGTTGAGGGGCGGGAGTAGGTGGTGTTTGATTCTTGGCGGCGGTGGATTGGAGGGGGAGGCATCTTGCAGTATGCCTTGGTTTAAAAAAATAGCTTGGAAAATATGATTTTTGGATATGGTTTTGATTCTAATTGTGTAGATTGGACGTCATTTGAGATGAGGTGCGTTGGTTGTTGATGTGATTTGACCGCGGGATTGTTTACTATCAGGTGATCACGTGCCGGTACAGATAGGTTATCTTATACTTCGAACGGACAGGACATGGAATTCTTGTTTATACATTAAACATGTACTTGGATTGGAATAAGCTATAGAGACCTCGTCGGTATAAAAGGTCTATCGATTCGTATTCTCCATGAGAGGATAAAGTGCCGTTCAAAAGCAGCGAAACTGAACACTGCAGTGCACCCTTCATTAATTTTCTCAGCAAAGCGCGAACCCAGCAAGCAGATCAACACAACTCAATGAACCGAATAAATTCAACCCCCGTTCTTTTGGAATGCGCCAGAGTCCAGACCAGACAACAAAATCAAAGACGAGGCTGTTTGCATCAAGCCATATGAGAGACAAAGAAAAAGAAAAAAAGAAAAGGCAAATGGAGGAAGTGCCCGTGGGGAGCGAATGATGATAAAACAGACAAAATGAAGACAATAGGCGTATACGAGTCTAGATGGGATGAGGGAAGGAATGCGTCGGCGGGTAGTATACATGCATGCAGAGAGATGAAAAGGTGAACAGGGGGGCCGACGACGACGGTATATCAACATGCTGTAAAGATGAAAAGAGGAGGTTGGAAGAGAAACAGCAAGGATAGGGATGTCCCAGTCTAGGCTCGCGTAGTGGCCTCATTAAAAATCGATAATGCCGGGAAACAGAATGAGTATCGATGCAGAGCAAATCACACAAAAAAAAAGACAAAACACGCACACCTCGTTATCCCACCCACACTCCGGAGCGAAAGGAAAAAAAAATTGAAAAATAAGCAACGGATACCCCTATGTCCGTCATGTATATGTAAAGAAGCGAACAGCAGAGTATTAACCAGTGCTTCAAGAGCACGGGACCGAAGAATAAAGTCCCCACACAAAGACACCATGATGCAAAAAGGTCCAAACATGACCAATTTTCGGTGGACGATCATCCAAGCCGAGTAAGAATGCAATGCCGAAAATGGAATTCAATCATGGGAACGCCGGTCAGCGATTGAGAAAGGCCGAGGGAAAGCTCGTCTTTCAGCGAACGGGCGCCGCGAGCCCTTGCCCACCGAGGCTGACCTGACTGCTGTGAGATGAGGGTTCGGAATCAAGATTGGCACTAGCTCCACTATCACCACTCCCCGCGCTGGCGCTCGCACTTCCGGTCAGATTCTGGTTTTTAGGGGGACCCTTCGCAGGGAACGCGTTGCTCACCCCATAGTGTTGCTCAACTTGCTGCGGTCCTCCTGCGTTTCCTGATCCTGGAGGAAACCGCGGCACCGGCGTACGCATGTTACCAGGAGGTGACGGCTGGCCATTGTGAGGTCCACCAGGGGGCCCAAGACTGTGTTCACGCGGCATTGGAGGGCGACCCATTCGGGGGCCTCCTGGGCCCCCTGGACCAGGGTGTCCATGAGGTCCCGGGGGTCCGCCGAATGGAATTCCAGGAGTCTGACTGTTTCGGCGGCTTTGTGGGAAGGGTCGAGGTGGGTAGTCGCCCATGTGGCTGGCCGTCAAAGAATTGGCTCGAGAATCCGCGTGCATCTGGTTTCGATCGACGGCTCCATATCTGTTGGAGGAGTAGCTCATCATGGGGTTGTCCATGAGTGAATCATGGAGACCGGGGATTTCTTGCATCACACGATCGCTGGTGCGTTTTCTACCAAAGTAGCGGTTGAAGGCTGATGACGAAGGGCGGCTGCCACCAGAGCCAGGAGGACCGTTTATACCAAATTCGGGGTTTTTACGGAGCTGGCTGTGACTGGGGCCCTTGCCCCTTCGGCGGGAAGTCATGCTCATCATGTCAACGCTGTCAGGGTCGATGTGAGGAATCGCCATGGTATCCATCGGGTCAAAGTAATCCTCATCTTCTTCATCAAAGGCGGTAGCAGGGCGGGAAGGAACCGGTCCACGACGTCCTGGGGGGGCCAGGAGGGCCTCGGCGCATATTCATCTCCTGTTCGCGTAACTGAATCTCACGTTGACGAAGAGCCAGCTCTCGCTCCCGTAATGTCAATTCAGAAACAGGAGCCGGTGCTGGCTCGGGGTACCCATTTCCATTCTGCTGGGGTATAGTTGGTTCGCCCTGTTCGTCGTAGACAACCAAATGGCTGAATTCCTCAAGGCCCTCCAATGATGGATCGCGCTGGACTCGATTGGGGGGTGGCATCGGCATCGGTCCCCCTGGACCTCTCTGCATCATACCAGGGGGTGGGCCTCGTCTTTGTTGCGGGGGCATGCCCATGCCCGAGGGTGTTCGGCCACCACGCATGGATGACGGACCACCATTCATCATGGGTCGCTGTTGAGGTGCGGAGGACAGTCGGGGAGGCGGCTGACCCATGACAGAAGCAGGTGGAGACTCCTGTCGGGGCTTGCTCTGGTTTGCGATATTGAGGTGATGTAGCACTGCGTACATTGTCTCGATTCGGGGAATGCGAACATTGGACTCGATTGCCAACTTGATTGGTGAGCCTAGGAAAGTCTCAACTTCCATGGGGCGTCGGCCCTGGAAATCCGAGTACATTGTAGTCGGGGATTCCAAGGCAATCATTTTTTGGACGGTCTTGTCCCGGAAGTCGCTAGGGAATGAGCAACCTTGTGCAGTGGCGAGCTCGATCAGCTCGTCAATGATACCCATTATCAGTGAACGAGCACCGGTTTTTTCGAGGAGTTGTGTATGGTTGGGAGTGTCGAAAACAACACTTGCGGGGTGGAAGGCGATCGGGCTGTGAAATATTTAGCATGGTAGTTGATAGATTCAAACAAATCCGACGGAACTCACCCTATCATTCGTTCGAACTGCTCCTGTCTGATGTTATCCGAGACTCTACAGTCGACCTGACCGGAATTCAAAGTCATTGACAATGCCGCCGCCATATCGTTCTGAATTGATGTCGGGATGGAGGAAGATTTGTTGGTTGCGCCCACGTGAATCTCGCTCGAGCTCAGATGTTCAAACTCGCTGGGACCCGTTTGGGAGATTTCCACGTTGGAAACGAGAGAAAGGATAACGTTGGT